AATCTTGATAGGTTTATATAAAATTTATATATATATTAATTTTTCACTCTCTCTATTTCTATATGTTAAATCAAGTTATATACTATATGTTACCCTTAAGATTTACATTAAGGGAACGATGCAGGATGTACTTTCCAAATTTTCTTAATTAAAATCCTTATATATATTTGTATATTCTATTTTAATAATAGTGCAATAAGTCAGAAAATGATAAGACTTATGCTATCTCTAATCAATACATTATATATTATGTTGATTTTCATTTATCATATAAATATTATACATTATTCATATACAAAATTAAATATATCATGCATATATAATCTGTGATCTTATTTTTTTTTATTTTTGTTTAACGATATTAAATCCTATTGATATTAATCGATTATGTTGTTGTTCGATATTTTATGATTTAAGTTATTATTCTTATAACATTTAAATGTTAAACATTAGAATTTAAATATAATTATAAAATAATTATAAAATTTTAAAAATTTGGATTTATTTAATATACAAACAGAGAAAAGATATAAATTGTAATTGTTTTCTTATATAGATAAAAGTTTATTTCTTATTTTTGCTCGTACAAGATGTGAAATATTCTTTTCTTATTTTATATATTTATATCTTATTTATTCATATTATGTTTTATCATGCTTTATAATTCTTAAAGAGAATACTAATTTGGAAAGTATCTCTTTGTGGTATAATCGTACAATTTTTCCTTTCATACATTTAAAGAAATGTATACGTTGGACTTTTCTATCGCATACGGTATATATAATCGCAAATTAAGAACTGTATTACGATTTAACAAAAAAATATATATATAAATATATATTACTGCAATGTACTCCCGACCTTTTATCCAAAGACATAGAAATCATAACTTCGTAATAGACAATACCGTATCTATGTAACATGTTATTTTTAATTATAAGACATCTAAGCGAAATCATAAATAAAAATAATAAATAAACCATAGGTAAAATTCACCAGCTAACGCCATTAGCAGTGACATAAGTATGAAATATAAATCGAAATATGATTGTGGTTTACATTAATGTGCCGTAATCCTTATACACATGGAGCTAATTGTGGGACTGATTTACAGGATGAATTTAGAATCCCTGTGTACGAGAAATTTATAAAGTTCACTATTTGACAATTAATAAATATGGTTACCTTTTAAGATTTTAAGTTTCTTATATAATATGAAGGAGCCGGATTACTGCGAGATATTTGAAAAGTTTTACAAATTTCGAAATCGATTTTATCAATCAATTCGCAATTTATATTGCCTCTTGAACAATTGACTCTACTCTTTATATTCTCCAATGGTATATATCCACTTCCTTAAAAGCACAAATTTTATAGAAAACGAAAAAAAAAGAGAGGATTGAAGTTAACGATACAATCACAAGCCGTAGGCGAATGTATTTCGATTGGATTACTTTTAATGTTGCTCTATGTTATTAACATGGCTGAAATATTTTAAGCACAATGCCGTCAAGTATTCTTTGAACGAAGGTACAAGAATGACAGGAAAGTCAAAATAGGCGATATAGACAAGAGAATATTGTCGCTTTAACATGTGAATTATGTACACGCATCAGAATCACCATTTATCATGCATAAAGAAGAAAATTCATCTGTGGTCACTATGCACATCAGTTCTTGAATTACGTGCCGTCAATTATTTTATTTTCTATTTGGATGAAAAAGTTTGTCGAAGTTTTAATAACTGGCTGCGAAAAGAATCAGACAAGATATGTATGTGATTTGATAACATATATATTTTCTTAAAAGTAGCTGAAAGAAGAAGTGTAGATTATTCTTCTTTGGGAAAAAAATCTCACCACGATATTCGTTATTTTTCGAAAAAAGATATAAAAAAAGGGATTATGAATATTTAAATGAACATGATAACCAAATAACTAAGTTGTGCGACAATTGTAGAGGAATAGGAGTTATTACATATAACAGTATACACACATAGCTTGAACCATAAATCGCAATGGCATTATCATTGTAAATTTGTAACTATGATTTCTAGTCGTGCACATAAATATACAAAGGATTTGCTTTCGTCTGACAAAATTTTACTTTATCACATACATAGTGAAGTATTACTTATAATTATTGTATAAATAGAATACATTTAGTGGCTATCACGAGCGTTGCTTTTGAAAGACATTCTACATTGTATTGTTGTTATACTATAATACAAATTATTTGCAAATATAGTACACTGTCTTGTACACTAAAATTCGTAATAATAATTTGTTAAGCAAATTATTCAATATTTTTATCATTAAATCTTTAAAAATGTACGCATTGTCGTGCTGTT